GAGCATTGATTTTGAACTGAATATTATGTGCCTGGAAGGAGATTTAAATATTCTTGGTTTTAAAAACTGTTTGCAGGTCACCATGGCGACCACGGCGCTACCATGGCAGATGTGGTTCTGCCCGGTGCTGCGTACACTGAGAAGGAGGCCACTTATGTTAACACAGAGGGAAGAGCACAGCGCACCTTGAATGCTGTCTCCCTACCAGGGCTGGCAAGAACAGATTGGAAGATCCTCAGGGCTTTGTCCCAGGTAGGTTTTATATTTAACATTTCCTCAGGGCTTTGTTCCATAATATTGATGTGGCTTGGATATGTTTATAGTGTCGGATAATATGGCTACAATGGTGTTGAAACTGTAACATCGTGGTTAAAAGAAAATACAATGTTTCAGGTATGTGATAAAACTCTTCCATACGAGACCCTGGAGGGTGTAAGAAGTCGCCTGGAGCAGGTGTCCCCAACCTTTGGAATGTACGGCCAAGTGGAGGACGCCAACTACTTCACACAGGCACTGCAGTTAACTCAGGTAGGCATCCCAAACTACTAGGAAACAGTTGTACACGTGAATAAAAAAATTAAAAGTGTTCTTTCAGTGACTAGGCTGATTGCCGAGTGGAATTCCTATCACCCAATGTGATTAACTCTATCTAAGTTTGGACTGATTTGATTTTTTCAAGAAGATGAGAGTTAAGATTACTAGGTTAAATAGGTGCATTAAAAAAACACACTTTCTCTTTATGTAGTTCCCATGTACACAGTATATAAATTAACTAATTATTTTATGAGCTTAATTGCTAACTTTCCAGAGCATCAAGGGTTCAGAAGCAGGCAGTATAATAGACGTCCCCCAGAAGGCACTGAAAGACTTTTTTATGACGGACTCGATAAGCCGTGCCTCACGCACCATGGCCAAGTGTGTCAAGGCTGCTACGGACGACGAATCCAGCAAATATGGCGGGAAATATTAGACTGTCGAGAGACAGGAAGAATATTTATACATAAAAACCTTGTACCAAAAATTGACGGAAATAAAAAAAGGAGTAATGCTCTTATTTTCAAGAAATTTGTCGCAGAGATTTTGGTTAAAAATGTTGGTATTATTGACTTAAAACTGAAAGCAAGAGGAAAGGTTTGAAAATGTTGTTCTAAAAGTTTGAGTTATAGTAGGAAACGAATCACGAAAGTAAAGAAAGATATCTTAACAAATGTGTCTTCGTCGAACTTTGGACAAGAAGCATACTAATGAGTCTTTTTCAAAATTTGGACAAGAAGCTTTGTGAAGGATTAAAATACACAGAGCTGGATGTAAAAAAGCTCATCTCTTACAGCAAATGATAGACATCCAAAACAACAGTTTTGATGCATTTGTACAGGCAATGACTCAGATTTTGTTATACGTGGTTTGCAGTCCATTTCCAATTTCTCTATGGCGTTATAATGAGATATAACAAGGCAATATTATATTACTTTCACCAGATTCCTTTGCGATTTTGCATGCTTCTGAGACACCTTTGCATTTTGTTGTACAGATATTACAAAAGTAAAAATGTAGAAAAAAAGTGTCGTCTTTGTTTGCATACTGGTACTTATTAAATAATAAAATGTAAAAAAAGAAGATAGTTTTGAAATACTTTCCTGGAGCTTCAGATTGTTGTGTGTATAATTATGTTTGCATAAAATCATCAGCAATAGATTTAATCGTTAAAAGTAGAGCCATGCTGCTGTATAGACATCAACATAGAATAATTTTAATTTTGATAAGTCAATGGTTTAGAAATGAGTTAACCAAAGACGTACTACAGTAAGAAGAAATACGATGTAAGAACTGCAGCAGAATTAAATAGAATTATCACCGAGGCGTAACGGTCACCCAGGGCGTTGAATTCTAATTTTTTTATCCGACCTTTCCTATTCTCCTTAATTTCCCATACCGTATCCCCATCCGGTAATATTATATCATTAATTTCTTACAAATTCCCAGCTTTCAGCTTATCAATCCCTACGCGCTAGGTAAGTAAGAAAACTCACTATTGTTTGTTTGTTTGTTTGTTTGTTTGTTTTTACTTTAAATTCCGCGATCTGTCAAGTCAGAGACCTAGTCTTCATGTAAAATTACAATGCTATCATAGAACTGGAAAAAGCACCAAATGCATTGACGGTAAAGCGAAAGGCGTTAGATCCCACCCACCTACAATTTCAATCTTATTTTTCGACTATCTCTTGTAGTGCCTTGTATTGACACATATCTGTGGGAATGGACCATTCCCACAGATATTTGGATCGATCTATCTCCCTTGGGAGTCTCACTAAATTGCTATCAACTTAACCGGCTTAAATGATCTGGCGGATTTAGAGGGTTCTGAATAAAAGTTAAGATCACACTAATTTTCTTCCATTGAAATTAGAATTTTAATTAGCTGATAATGATTCATAGTTCTATAAAATAAAAAAAATAGTCATACTAGAAAAAAGTAATCTATCTAAAAACGGTCCGTGTCGATTTCTCAAATAAGTCCTCGTGTACTTGATGAACTTAAACAACGTTGATGATAATACCGTGTTCGCCGACTGGCGAAATATAGATGTACGGTTCACGGGCTATTGATTGTTATGGCAGATATTTAAATACATATACAGCCAAACTGGCCCTCTCTGTACGTGGGAAAGTAGAAAATTTCCATTTGATCATTCCCAGCCAACGAAGCTTCTGTGGCTCCGTGGTAACTCCGCCGTCTCTGACACAGCTAGACTCTTGTACGCGGGTTCGAATTCGAAGAATTTCAATGCAATCTTTCTTTTGCTCGAAATAATTGCGAAAAATTGTGTTTTATTTCTATAAGAGGAAACTCGTATCCTAGGACGGTTGGCGGGTTAGTCACGGCGCAGTCGGTAGCGTGCTTGGTTGCAAAAACCACCAAGCCATCAGAAAAACATGGTAACGGCAAGTCACGAGTTCAAAGCCTAGATGACGCATGTCAGTTCAACACAACGAGCTGGCCCCGCAACCGAAAAAGAGTCTGTCTCTCGTGTGTCCGGGCAAATTTCCTTTTGCATAAAAACTCGGTATAGTTTAGAATTAGTGATCGGTCTGACAACTAATTGATCTTCATTATTATAACGTCTACGTCGTCAATTCTCTTTGCTTTAAAGTCTTCAAAATGATACTTAGATGGGGATGGTTATTGATCTCTATCCTTTACCAACTACGCAACAGATCAAAATTGAATTGAGTCAGTACCTTACCCGGCATGGGGTCATGCATGTCATGCAGCACTTTCATAAAAAAAAAAAAAACTATCTGCTCGTTGGGATTATCAGCAAGAAAAGTTTTTTCAAAAGTCATATTGCCGCTATACAATTGCTTAATTACCTAATCATACATTTTGTTTTCTATGCCCCCCCCCCCCCCCCCCCCCCCCCCCCCCCTCCCCCCCCCCCCAATCTGGCCTTGTTTCATACCCTGAACAAATTTTGAGTGTTGATGCAATGCTTTTCAACCCCGCTGAGAATCGTCACTATCACATGGCGTACTAGGCAAGAGCGGTGTCGCGTCTGATACTGTGTAATGCGATCTGACACACACCTTGAAAACGGGTAGTGTGGTCTGATCTACCGGTGAATTCAGGATCATTCGGTGCCGAGTCTGGTAATTGGGTAGGCCTGGAGCTGGTTATGTCAAACGGGACTGACAACCAATGCAATTTTGAGGTTCGCGTCCACGGCGAACCATGTATGAGGTTAAAAGAAAAATGAATCAATTTATATAATTCTATTCGGTTGAACGAAGTGAATAAGAATGGAATTATTTTCTCCTAGGGGGCGACACTGTATATATTGTGTTAGTTGTGATACTGGTAAGAATTGTGGGTAAGTTACGACAGTTGTTCATTCGACCAGTTAGCGCAGACCAGTTGACACGTAAATTTTGGAGCGCGCATTTTTCAGTGGTGTCGGAGGGCGTAGACTGAGGTTTCAATCAAATGCCGTCTAGAAGGCAACCGCATTCAGTTTGATTTCGATACTGAATTAGAAGAGGTTTTGACACAGGTGGGACACTGTCAGCTTTTACAAAGCCAATCCTTTGGCCAGTGACTCTGAGGATGCAAAGAAAGTTAACAGAGCAGAAAGCAAGGCATTGAAAAAGCGTAAATTGAGCAAATCTATTTCTAAAGGAGGTCATGGCTCCAGCAAATCTAACGTTAGTAGTACTTATCCTGTTTACTGTGCTCAGCCTATTTTTCATGGACAACTATGGGCGTTTCCCTGTGTTACACCAGGAGCACTCGGTCCAGGTTCTTTCACGCCACCAGTCACTTCTGCTGTCAGCCCCTACGGACAAGGAAGGAGCGGGTCGTGTTTTGCGTGTGGGTCCTTCGGTCATTGTAGGAGAGATTGTCCCTACACTAAGGCTCTGTTCTCACAACTTTTAGATCGGTCTATCACCGCGGGGAGTCTCACTAGATTACTGTCAGATAATCCCCCTTAAGTGTCCGTCCCCGCCTACTACAAGCTTTAAGGGGTAATTAACTTTCGTGTCCGCCCGGCTGANCTGACAGCTATTTAGCGTGAACCCCCAGGGAGTTAGGTCGATCCAATGTAGGTCGATCTAATCTATGAGAATGGGGTGTAAAACACCAGGAAGTGCACCAGAATTCTCAAAAACCAATCGTCCATGATTTTGTTAAAGATGAGTATTGTTTTGATGTGAAATATGATAAATTATTTTTTACTATCGATTATTTTGAGCATGAGCAGGGCAATGTAGATATCTGGGTTAAAGGCAGGCTAAGAAGTAAATTAGCATTTTGGAAAAGTATTGGCACATATGAATTTATTCTTGATGTTTTAGAAAATGGACACAAGCTTCCTTTTTTCTCTATACCCGCATCAGTTCGTTTGGATAACAATAGATCTGCTATTTTGCATAGTGCATTTGTTGAGCAGGCAATACAAGATTTATTGGTCAGAGGCTTTGGTCAGTGAGTGCTCAGATATATCTGTTGAAGTTAACCCCTTACAGTGGCCATTAGCAGTAGTGGTAAAAAGCGGTTAATTTTAGATTTGCGGCATGTTAATAAACATCTTTGGAATTTTTCAGTAAAATTTGAAGAAATTCGTAATGTTTTATTTAAAATGGAGATTTTTGTTTTCGAATTTGATTTACATTGTATATATATCATTACATTGATAATTTTGAGTCTCACGCTAATTTTTAAAGGTTTTCTTGGAAATTTGGAAATACATTTGGTCTCAGTTCGGCTTACTATATTTTTACTAAAGTGACCAGGCTGCTGGTTAAAAAGTGGCGAGGAGAGGGCAATAAAGTGATTATGTATTTAGATGATGGTTTTGGTTGTCATTCGCAGTACAGCGAATGTAAGAATGTTGCTTTAAATTAAGCAAGATCTTATCAACAGCGGGTTTGTTCCTAAAGTTGAAAAATCAACGTGGTTTCCTAGTACTGAGATTTTATTTTTAGGGTATAATTTGAATTTAGAGAAAAGCACTTTATGCATTCTGATTACAGACTTCTTAAAATTCGTTAGACTATAACGGATATTCGTTCTCTGTTTAAAGGAAAAGGCAGCATTCATGTGTGTTGAGTTGCTAGTTTAGTAGGTCAGATCATTTCTATGTCTTTTGTTATTTGCAATATTGTTTATATTATGACAAAATGTCCGAGTTTTGATATTTCTAAAGCTAAATGTTGGAATGAACAAATTGTTTTGAGCATAAACAGTACGAAGCAAATGGAACTTTTGGTATCTAATGGATGCAAGATTTCTGTAAGTATATGCAGATCAAATCAGCATATTAGTAGACTATGATGATTGGGAGGTGGCAGATAGTATTTTTTGATTATTTAGATTCAGTCTGGGGGCCGCATGAAATTGAATTTTTCTTGTCTCTGATCATAACAATAAATTGCCAGTTTTTAATTCTAGATATTGGACTCCTGGTGCGGCGGGCACTGATGCATTTACTGTCCATTGGGGTGGTATGAATGGTTGGTTTGTGCCCCCGATGTGTGTATTATCTAGAGTTATACTGTCTTTAATTCAATGCAAGGCTTGTGGCACGGTTATTTTGCCTTGTTGGCACTCAGCTAGTATTTGGCCTTTATTATCTAAAGGCAGGTTTTTATAAAGGAAGCTGTAGCATATGTAGAATTACCGAGAGAAAAAGCTTGTAATGTTCCTGGAGGTTTGTTTGGTAGAGTAGATTTGCCGATTAAAATGCTGGCAGTCAGATTTGATTTTTCTTAATAAATGAAAGTGATTTTAAATTACTTATTAATTTTTTTGTCTTTGCAGGCTTATAAGGATGACATTTCTGAGCTTCCTTACGAGTTGGCTGGTAAAATGCCATTGGTTGTTGGATTTTTTGTCTGAGAGTCGGTCATCGAACACAGTCAAGGGTTATTATTCAGCTTTCATGCGATGGAAATTATGGGCGAAGAAGAACGGCAATCAAGGGAATTTTCCGGCAAGAAGTTTTTCCTGTTGCTTTGTACTTGTCGTGCTTAGCAGAACAGTCCAATTCTTCTAGTCCTGTTTATCAGGCATTTTACAGGCTTACATTTTACAGCGCAGTCTCCTACAGACTCTAATTTAGTAAAAATCGTGTTGGAAGGTATATAAGAGGCGCAAGTCACAGCCAGTTTGCAAAAAGGAGCCCATATCTCCAGATATTTTGGAAAAATGTTTGAGGCAAATTTTGAAGAAGGGAAT